ATAGAGTATTGTCTTTAAAATCAGATTGTCTCTTCTATATTGAAAGCATTTTTATGTTTTCTAATTTAAAAATTAATATTTTCTTATAGATATTGTGCAATAAAGCTGAAGTAGGATGTGTGGTTTTTGCCAATGCTTTAACATCGGATAAAATTTTACATTTGTAAAATTAATATATTGTACTGGTACAACATAGTTTTAAATTATATTTTAAAAAGCTTTTGGTTTGGTGTGTTTTCTTCTAGACCATTAAATTCAACAGGGCGATGGTTGGTGACCATCGACTAGATCCATAATTCTTGGCGTTTAGGCATTTTGTTGAAGATGTTTAGAATTGTTGCATTCGTTGGAAGTTTCATAAAAATTCACAAACCACCATTGAGATAATCCCATGAGAGACACTCGACCGTGTCTGTCTTTTGAGTGGGCCACTGCATTTTGCCTACTGTCACTCATTAAACAAAGGGGGGAAAACAGTGGAAGAGGAGTGTTACTGGCTTGGAAGTTAAGTTTCTCTCTCCTCCCAGTTTTTCTATCTGTAAAATAGATGAATGAAGAGATAAAAATATAGCTGATTCTTAGAACTCTCCTAATGAGCTTCTAAAGTCACTCAAAATCTCGACTGCTGGAAAGAATCCTGTATCCTGTTGGGGTATGAAAGAACCCACCCAAGAGTACCTTTTCTTTCTGAATCCTGAACCAATTGAGGTGTCAAAGGAATGCGGCATATGATGGCCAAAATATCTTCATTAATAATAAAATGGATATTGAAGAATGTGCCTTCTGTATCTATGGAAAATGGGCTAATACTGAACCCCAGAACGTGATTGACTCGCCAACAGCTCTGCAGACCCTGCCAGCTTCCCCTCCAAGGGCAGAGCCTTTACCATTGAGTTTAGTACATGGCCAAGAGCAATGGTGCTCTCGAAGGCAGGCCACCTCTGAAAGAGGCGCAGGTGACGGAGCAGCCAAACAGCGCAGCCCAGGGCCCTACTGTAACTTAACTCATCAATTAGGTAAGTCCCTCCCAGGGGAGGAATGAATGAGGGGCACAGGGAGGCCAGGGGGTGATGTCTGTCTTTCCACAGGGATGTAAACAACTGGATTAGAAGTCTCCTTCCCAGTCCACCCCATATATCCATATCAAAAATTGCTAGAAAGTTGTATTCAACATATTTAATAACTGGTTGTATTAGAAAAGTGAAAAGAAGACCGAGGCTTTCTAGTACAAAGAAGTAAAATTTTAAATTATAAAACTTAAGAAATAAAAAGATCAGACTGAGGTACTATGGAGAGGTTAACAACATGTCACCTCCTTTAGCTGATGTTCTTCAATCGTTAAAGAGATTCTAAGAGCAGTACAAGGAAGGATTACTGGTGGGAGCCTGTGGCCTTTTCCATATTGTTCTGAGCTGGTCTGTGGGGGCCCTCATTAACTAGCATTCTCCTCTTACCAAAGCAGAAACAGTACTTTGGAGGAAGACCTTCAACAAAGTACACAGAAGATGATGAAATAGGGTGAGAGAGCACCCATAAGTATCATGAAAAGTTCTCTAATGTAATTTATGTGTCATCTATGCCTTGATTTTTTTTTTTTTTTTTTTTAAACGGGAGCATCTTTTTTTGTGGAAAAAAAACAGACAAAGCTGTAGATTTTCTCTGGGTTTATTAAAAAGCGAAGCAGAGAAAAGTATGGAAAACAAAAGTCACTCTTCCTGCTCCCTCTTGTTATTGGGAAGTCCAACACAACCTTGGCAGGATTAGTGTAAAACGTGAGAAACAACATATCTAATTTGTGTATGTGTGTAATTTTGTGAGCTGAACCAAAGGTTGTCAGTTTTAATTTATTTGGATTTGAAGTTCTTTAAGAGCAATCTCTTGCGGGGGTGCCTGGGTCACTCAGTTGGTTAAGCGTCTGACTTGGGCTCAGGTCATGATCTTGTGGTTCCTGAGTTCGAGCCCTGCATAGGGGTTTGCACTGGTCGTTCGGAGCCTGCTTGGCCCTTTCCCATTTAGGCTCTTTCTTTCTCAAAAGAAATAATCTTTAAAGAAAAAAAAAAGAGCAGTCCCTTGGAGAATGTGCTGGAAGGTAAGGACCTCCTTGCACATGTTCATGCATATGCACTTACTGCAATACCAGTTCATTCGGTACTTGGGCCCTTTCTAAAATTCACTGGTCTCTGTTCTTTGATATTAACCACCCATTTTCTACAGTTAAAAGAAATGGGTATCCTATTTATGCTTAATAATAGCTAAGAACAAAAAAATCTGCTGTTTTGACCAATAAGGCAGTCCAACAACAGAACAGGCAAAGGGTTGTAAGAAAGTGCTTAATGTTGAACACACGTTTCATACAAATTTTATGATCAAGCTCTAATTAAAATATTTTTTAATTAGATAAAATAACAGTGCTATTAATTCAGTCTGCCAGCACTGCTTCTACTCCTCAACACACTCATATTTATAGAGTTGTAGGTTGTTTTGTGGACAACTCAATATTCCCTTCTATATTTAACATTAAAACAAAATCAAAGTGGGCCGCCTGGGTGGCTTAGTCAGTTAAGCGTCCAACTCTTTTTTTTTTTTTTTCTTTTTAATACTTATATATTTTTGAGAGAAAGAGGACAGTTGGGGAGGGGCAGAGAGGAAGGGAGTCACAGAGTTTGAAGCACGCTCCAGGCTCTGAGCTGTCAGCACAGAGCCAGATGGGGGTTTGAACTCATGAACTATGAGATCATGACATTGAACCCTATGTCCGGCTCTGCCCTGTCAGCACAAAGCCTGCTTGGGATTTTCTCCTCCTATCTCTGTCCGTCTGCCACTCACACTCTCTCTCTCAAAATAAATAAACTTTTAAAAATAAAGTATAATTAACAATATAAATGCAGTATATAAAACACACATAATACAATAAAATACACAGATCTTTAGTGTAAGGAGAAAGTATCAATCCTACACAAACTCTTCTAGAAAACATGTAGGAAGACTTTGGAAATCATTTTATGAGGCCAGTATTGTTATCCTTGATACCAAAGTCAGGATAAAATTTATAAGAAAACTATAGACCAACAACCCTCACAAACACAGATTCAAAGACCTTTAACAAAATATTAGCAAATGGAATTCAATATATAAAAATTATTATAGATCATGACCAAGTGGGGCATATCTGATTAAGTTAAGGCTGATGTAACACTGAAAATCCACTAATGTAATTAACTATATGGATAGCATAAAGGAAAAAAAAATGTTCATCTCAACAGATAAAGCATTTGACAAAGTTCAATACCCATTCCTAATAGAAAAAAACCTAGCAAACATAGGATAAAAGGAACCTTCCTCAATATGATAAAGGTAATCAATAAAAACTTACAGCCAACATCACAATAATGCTGAAAGACCAAATGCTTCCAAGATTGAGATAAAAGCAAAGTTGTCTGCTCTCATCACATCTATTCAACACTATAGCAGAGGTTCTAGTCAGTGCAGTACGGAGAAAAGGCATACAAGATAGAAAGAGTGAACTGTCTTTATGTGTGGACCATAAGGTCATGTACATAAAAAAATTCTAAAGAATCTTTGAAAATAGATCCTAGAACTGGTGAGTGAATTTAGCAAGGTCTATATATGAAAATCAGTTGCATGTCCACAAACTAATAGCAACTACATTTCTATAAACTAGCAGCAAACAAGTGAAAATGAATCTTAATCAATTTAGTTAAGAATTATGAAATGCTTAGGATAAACTAACAAAATATGAGCAAAAATCTGACATGACTTCGCAACAGCAAAATTATCTCCATAAGAAAATGAAATGTTGAGGCTGTTGTCAGCCTACAGTCAAAAAGTGTGAGGACAAAATTAAATTCATTTTTAGAAAAAAGAGTGAGAATTTGACCCTCATCAAAATGACTCTAAAAGATATACTTCGGAAACTTGGCTTTGGAAAGTCATGTATACAAATTAAGCCATTTCAGGATAATCACTTAATAAAAGTAGAAATAAAGAGAACTCCACCAATCTAATGGTAAACAGTTAATAGAGAAAGGAAAATAAGGCAGAGTAGATAGCATAAAAATATTTGCTAGAAATATATAAAATTATAGTAGTTATCACAATAAATGTAAATCGACAGAACTTGTTAAGTAAAAGAAGACAATTCAATTTGGACCAAAAACAACATCTAGCTATAGACGTCTTTAATGAGATACATCTAAAACATTAACATAGGAAGGCTTAAAAAAATGGAAAGAAAAGGATATAGTGAAAATGCTAATATTAACCATATACAAATATTAACCACGTATAAGTTGCCTTAGCTATATCAGACATTAAGACAGCATTATGATGGAAAAAGAGTGAACTATTCACTAGGAAAATCAAATTTTGTGGAAGGTGTTACATACGTATGTGTGTATATATGTATATGTGTGTGTGTATATATGTACATACATATACATAGCAATGATGAATCAGGCAAAATTGGTAAAGACAAAAAAGTTGAAAACGTTATACATTATATTCAACAGTTAGAGAATTTATATTCTTTTCAAGCATATACAGTTAAACTTATTTGCAAAATTTGACAACTTTTACTAGTCACAAAAGACTTAAACACAATAAGAACACCATATAAATAATTTTTTGATGTATTACAAAAAGAAGTATAACCCACTAACAACAACATTAATCTCCAATTTGGTATGAAAAAAGTTTCTTTTTTATATAATAGGTCAAAAAAGAAACCACAAAGTTAGGAAATACTTGAAATCAAACTTGAGGACAGAGATATACACAAATAACACTAAAGATGTCATGCAGTAAAAGAGGCAAAAATGAATGCCTTAAAAAACTTAGAAGAGTAGGGGTGCTTGGCTGGCTCAGGTGGTGGAGTATATGACTCTTGATCTCAGGGTCATGAGTTCGAGTACCATGTTGGGCATAGATATTACTTAAAAATAAAATCTTAAATAAAAGAAATATGTAATTTCTATGAAAAATGTCATTTAACTGAATAGAATCAAGAATTAGAGAACTTATAATTATTTTTAAAAAATCAAGACAAAAGTTTACCTACAAAAGCACAGGATAAAATAGTTTCAGTGGCAAAGTTTTACCAAATGTGAATAAGTACAATTTGTTCCAGAGAGCAGAAACGGTAGGTGCAACTAATTTTAAGAGTACTACCAAAAATCTACATGGGAAAAGATATAGGCAAATTTATGATCATAGTATAAAAAACTCCTAAAAATATTGAGCAACAATTTCATCCATGTCTTTTAAAAAAAATTGTCACTTATAAGAAAAAATATGGGGAAAAACTTCATGACGTTGGATTAGGCACTGACTTCTTAAATATAACAATCAAAAGCAAAGACAACCAAGGAAAAATTGATAAATTGGACTTAATCAGAATTAAAAACTGGTGCATCAAAGGACACGCCCAACAGTAAAAGGGCGACCCACATACTGGGGGAAAACATTTGCAAATCACAGAATGGATAAGGGGTTAGTTTCTAGAATGTTTTAGGAACTCCTCTAAGATTCAACAACAAAAACAACCCAATTCGAAAATGGGGATAGCACTTGAATAGACATTTTCCTGAAGAAGGTATATAAATGGACAATAAGCACATGAAAAGATGTTTAACATCATTAATCATTGGGGTAATGCAAGTCAATACCACAGTGAGATGTCACTTCATACCCATTAGGATAGGTATTATGAAAAAAATCCACAAGTATTAGCAAGGATATAAACCCTTGTGCATTGCTGGTGGGAATGTAAAATGGTTCAGCCACTCTGGAATTCAGTATATTGGTTCATCAAAATACAGTATTACCATATTATCAACAATTCCACTTCTGGGTATATATATCCCAAAGAATTAAAAGCAGGAACTCAAGTAGACTTTTGTATTTCTAATAGACAAAAGTGGAAACAACCCAAATGCCCATTGATAGATGAACAAAATGTGGTGCACATATCCAGTGGAATACTAGTCAGACTTAAAAAGAAATGAAATTCTGCTATGTGTGGACATGGATGAAACATGCCACGACATGGATAAAACATTATGTTAAGTGAAAATAAGCCAGATAAAAAAGGACAAATACTGTATGATTCCATTTATGAGGTACTTGGAAGAGTCAATTTCATAGAGACAGAAAGTAGAATAATGGTTACTAGGAGACGGGGTGGGGTGGAGTAAATGAGTAGTTACTATTTAATGACTACAGAGTTTTAGTTTGGGATGATGAAAAAGTTTTGGAGACAGATAATGGTGATGATTGCACAACAATGTGTACATAATGCTACTAAACTATACACTTAAAAATGATCAAAATGATAGTTTTTATATTTTACCGCTAAACTAAAAAACAACAAAAAAGAAAGTGTATAGTATCCAGGACATAGCTAGACAAATAAACCAATAGAAAGAAACTTTGCTGTGTGACAAAGAGAGTGGTATTTATCAGTGGGGAAAAGACAGATTAGTCAATGAATAGTGCTGGAGCAATGGGCTATTCTCATGGAAAATAAAATAAAATCAGATCCCCATTCCACAAAATGCTATACAGTTTAAAGACCTAAGTGAAAAAGCAAAACAACAAATTTTAGAGAAAAACTTTAAGCAAAAAGGTGACAGGACATTAATATTTAAAATTCTTGAACATCAAAAAACATAAAGTAAAAACAGAAAGCTACAACCCATGTAAAAAAAGACAAGTACTATCAAGTAAAAAAGACAATACTATCAAGAATATATAAAGAGCCCTATTCTATTAAGAAAAAGACACTAGTTGAAAAGTGGGAAAAATATATAGTAATTCATAGAAGTAATGAGTGACCAATAAATATTTGAATTCTCACAAGTAATTAACTCAGTGAGATAATATCTCATACATAATTAAAGAAGAGCCATTTCACATTCATTGTCTTAGGTAATTTTATGTCCAATAATACCAAGTGATAGAACTTATAAATTGCTGTTAGGAGAGTGATGACACTCCTTGTGTCCAGAGAATTGGTACAACCACTTTAGAGAGCTGCTCCCCTTCTAGGTATCCACTCCGTGGAAACTTAATCTCATGTGTGCAAGAATGTAGAATATTCACCACAGCACTAATTTGTAATGAAAATAGTGGAAGCAAATTATCTCTCAAAATAATAAGTCTAATTTATTTATATAACTGTACGATGAAAATAATCTACATCTGCCAACATGGATAATAAATCTCAAAAACAATGGTGAGTTAAAAGTTGCAAAAAGATATAGACAATATAACATTCATGTAAAATGTTAAAATATGAAACAATTCTTAACATTCTAGGGATAAACAGTAAGAACACAGAAATACTAAAATTATAAAAACACTGAATTTAGAACTGCCCACTAGAACTTTCTATGGTGATGGAAATGTTCTATATCTGCATTGACCCTAATGTGGTAACAAATATTAAGGAACTATCCTGAAAGTCCACGACATTATAATTTGCTGAGGTATCACAGAACAGTGTACACCTAGAGCTTGGTACTCAGAGCTAATCACTTGCCTAGTCCCAGAAGCTAAGCAACATCAATTCTCTAATCATTATCTCACATTTTACTTGAAATTTTAATGGTATAAAGGATCCCCAAACAACTTAAGGTATACCCTACTGTGTATGTCAAGGATTTATTTTATTCAAATCTATAAAGAGTTTCAAAGGATCCTTAGCTCATCTTCAAAAATCATTCATTCCCACTTTAAGGGAAAAATAAAGATGCCAGAAGCTTATAATTAAAACCCCTTAATTTGAATGATTATTCATTTCCAAAGTTTTCTCAGAAGATATATTTTGAGTAAAATGAAAAGTTTTAGGCCGTTTAAGATATAGGGCGTATGTCCAGTTATTTATATTTAAAAGAAAAAATAAACCAAATTTATTAGTGGTATAAGAAAAAAGCATCACATCTGAAATATAGTTTTGAAGAAATTTTCACGATCGAGAGTTCAGTCAAAGAATATTCCATGGCAACAGTTCAACCCTTTTGTGTACTATCTTACAGATTGTCTCTTGGAGAGACAGGAGGTGTAGAGGATGAATATAAACAGCATACAAAAAACACTTCACTGCATTTGCTTCATACTTTTTTTTTAGAATGGCGTCTGGAATCTTTTTTCTGTTTGAAAATAGGAGAATTCAAGAAACACAAATCTGTAAAAGGGTCTCCTCTTCTCAGTTTCCTGTAAGGGTAGGAAGAATTCTTAGGCATAATTCTAAGCACCCCAGTACCATCTTACTCCTCAATACAAAGTTATTGTAAAATATGCCAGTGTTAATATTCCCACTTCAGTTTTTAATCAAAATTTTATATTTCAAAAAGACTCACTCTTGAACAAAGCTCCAAACCTCTTCCCCCCCTCCCCTACATTTATCACTAAAAGTGGGTTCCCACAAATCAGATACTTACGAAATGAGTGTGGGTTCCTTATAGTTCATACTGGCTGTGCACCTACGCTTAGGCAGAGACACTGCTGGGCTTTCTTTATTCTTTTTTGGAGAAAGAGAGAGTTTTCTGACTTTCAGTACAGGATACAAGGGGGCATTGGTGATATCCTTCAGGCTAAAATGAGGTGAGCGATGAGTTTTAGGTAGTGCACCTACAAAAACAACTTTTACTGAATATGGTTCCAAATTTTAAAAAAACACAGGACTTAAGTCATATGCAAGTACATATCCTAAACATATACAAATCCAGCATTTTATAATATAGATTTTTTAACCTATTCATCATTTTTCCATCCCAGATAACACTGAAATATTAATCACTATAGATGTGAAGAGTTAATACAATAGGCTACTAAGACTTAAAATTCTTAAAAAAAATTTTTTTTCTAAGATAACAGGTGTAATGAATTTAAATTACAGAATTTCATTTTAGTTCTACCTTGCTCTGTAGAATCATCAAGGCCTCCATCTTTTTCAGTACTGTGATTTATCAAGTGGCTTCCTATAGTCTTAAAAAACCACCTTAACTCACTTTATTAAATAAATGAGAATTCTACATCATAGTCTCTGTGTAAACCAGCAGGAAAGGGATTCCCTCTGGTAAAACTAGTATGTTAAAAAGTTATCAATGTATTTCCTATCATAAGCATTCACGTTACTCTATTTTGGAGCTCTATCTACATTGGGTGTCAAGTACTCAGCACACAAAGAACACTGCAAGACAATCTCTTCAAATAGCTTTAAAAAGCTAGTTGTTTTTCCAAGACATACTAAATTATAACTGTAAAATTACTATATTTAGCAACCATGTTCTCCAGACTTATCTAGGTTTCACATGCTGTCTTTTTTTCTCCACTTAAGCATTTTGTACTATACTAATTATTCCAACTTTTAGTTTGGAAAATATGGTTAAGCAACATCCAATCAGCTGGTATATTCTAGAATACTGCTTCTCAAAAGTAATGTATATACAAATCCCCCAGGGAACCTGTGAAAAAGATGCAGATTCTGATTCAAGGGTATGGCCTGAGATTCTGCATTTTTAACATGTTTCAAGGTAATGGTGATGCGGATGATCTGGGGATTAAATTCTGAGTAATACTATCTTAGAGTGTAATTTTTTTCTTTTAAAAAGTATGTAAAATTTCAAGTATACACAAATATGGAGACAACAATATAATGAACCCCCAGTTACCCAGCTTCAGTAATTATCAATATTTTGCCAATCTGGTTTGATTTATATTATTTGAGTCACATTAACATTATTATAGCATATTAAAAAAAAAAATTGTTGCAAACTACCACTGCCTAACTGGTTGACTATGGAAAGTCATTTAAATTTTTTAGGCCTTAAGTTTTCTTATAAACAATATAAGCACGATGATACCTGCATTTTATAAAGTTCTTCTGAGGATCAAATGAAATAGCATGTTTTGAGAATGCTACAACATGACCACGTATATTATAGTTTTATCACAATAACAATTTCCCAGATGAGAATCTTTGTGGGCAGATGCAGGCTATATCAACGTCTGAACCATGCCTACTTTTGATCTAATAAGAGCAAGATTTTTAAGCGACAGCTTTTAGATGTCTTACAAATGTCTACCAAAAAATACTAAGCCCATCAACTGAGGAAAAAAGTTTGGTCTAGTGTTTGGCCACCTTCCACTAACTAGAATGAATCAATTTAAAATCATGGTTCCTGTCAAACTGAATATAAAGCAAAGCCACTAAAATGATAGGTCACTGGATTCAAATTTGATTTCATTTTCAAAGGGCTGTTGTTCAGGTGAGTGTATAAAAGATATTTTAATTCAACCTAACTCCACCAAAAAGTTTTTCTTACCTTGGAAGTCTTCATTTACTGAAATTAAAAATGCTTTCTCCCTAACAAGCAGTATTTGTTCTTAAAGATTTAAAGTAGTTTAAAGCAGGTCATAGCCATACAATTGTGATTTCCACCCCCAACCTGCCATTGTTTAATCAGACTGTAACTTCCCCCAAAGAGACAGATGGCAAGTCTCTAACCTCCCCCAGAGAAACAGATGGGAAGTATAGCATATAAGCATCAGGAGTGATCATTTACTATAAACATTAAAAATGCAGGCAAACAAGTAGATCACTTACTGATAGGAGTTTTTATAAGCTTAGAATCCTCCATCTCTTTCTCGTCCCTACATTTTAGTGCTCTTTTAGGTCGAGGCCTGGCGACTGGGCTCCTTTCTGATTCGCTGGAGAGACCTTGACTGTACTTGCAAGTGGGCAAATAGAGGTCATCAGAGTCATCTCCTGAACCACTTGATTCACAGATGCTCACTTCAGATTCATTGTTGTTTTCTCCTCTGTTAGAATCATTGTTAAATTTTGGTCGGAATGGAGTGAGATGAATTCTCTCTTCCAAATTAAAATTGTAAGCATCACTGGAAGTGACAGATTCATCCAACTTTTTTTTGGAAACAGTTTTTTTATTTTCACTTTTGCTCGCTTTATACTTCGATAGAGGTTTTGATTTTTTCCTTCTGTTAGCTTTTCTTTTGTCTTCTTTTGCACCTCCATGCTTGCTTTTAGTTTGTTCAGGTTTATACTCCAAAATGTCTTCTTTTGTTTTAGTGGATATTTCTGGGTCAATCAGGTTTGGTGATAAGTTAATTTGATCCTTATTCCATTGACAAACATCTTGTTCTACATTTTCAGGTATGTGCGTATTTTCTAGTGGGTCTACACATCTAATTCTTTCCAATTCAAAGGACTGCTCTGAGAAATGACTGATTTCAAAATCATCCAAGGTACCGAACTGACCTATATTATTAAAATGTGTCTTTAAACTGCGACGGACAGATACAGTTCTAGGTAAGACATTATCAGTAGATTTATCTTCATCTGAATTCAAATCAAATTCCAGTCTGTCTTGAGAAACAGGTACTTGCTCTGAGAATTTAAAAGATAAATGAGAAAAATAATAGTTTAACTTTATGGAAACTTTAAAGTCAGTAATGCTAAAACTCAAAATTAAAAATGAAATAAATGAAGTCATCCTGTAGTTTCCCCACATTTGCTAGAAGTAAATATAAATGTGGGGAAATTAATACCACCACCTAATTTATTTGGCAGTGATCAACTGATGGATTCTATCTAACTTGTGAGAGAATCTTACATAACCTCCGAACATATTCTAACTGGGAGTTTTCTGTGTCCCTAGTTGAAAGGTTTAAAGAAAAACTAGTTGGCTACACGTATCTACGGGTATAGGATTCAGTGCGAGAGAACCTCATATTCTAAAGTAGGACAAGTACACTGAGAAAATGGGAGCTAAGGTGTTTTTTGAAAGCTGAGTAAAACTGGGATAATTACAAAGCTTTTCAGGGAAGAAATATTATAAGTATTTTTAGGAAAAGGTTCTGTTTATTCATAGCTATCCCTTCTTCAAAGTTTTGAGAACAGGGACACGTCAATTTAGAAGTGGAAAGAATAGCATGGCTTTGGAGGTCGGCTTTGAGTTTAAGCGCTAGCTCTTGCCATTTGGGCTACTTCTTGTGGAATACTTTACCTCTCTGAGTCTATATAAAATGGGACCAACTGTACCTATATTCTAGGGTTGTTATGAGGGTTAAGTGAGATAATGTAACATGGCTGACACATAGCTTGGCACATAGTAGTTCTCAGTAAACTGCAGACAGTTATAGCTGATTATAGATTTAGCAAAATAAATGGATATATTTTAAAACTGTTATACTCTAAAAAGAATAAACAGATTTGCACAGAAGAATGCCAGATGAGCAAACTTAAAATGTTAAAAAAAAAAAAATTTTTAATTATGTTACTTTTGTTCTCAAAGATCTCATCTTACCCGTAAGAATAGTTTTAGATTTTCACTTGAATTACCTTCTATTTGGGACGATTCTCCTTGTCCTGGAACGTGAGCTTCCAGAAGAAGAACTTGTCTAGCCAATAAAAAACAGAAATTTATTTAATAATTATGTAATAAAAACATTTTTTTTACTTTCATAATTCTATTCTAAATCTACTCAGTATCAAAGAAAACAAAAAACATTTATGCTGATTATATGGAACCTGGTTTGTTATGAATGACATTCAGCTCCACTGGAAGAACTGCCTTATCTATTTGGACAGTTCCTCCTGTTGACATGCCATAACTCATCATTTCATTTACCTGGAGAAACAGCCAATGGAAATTGACTTCTGTATTACAGAAATGCAATTTGATCACTCAACTCTTTAGCAGCCTACTTCGTCATTAGCCAAGCTGTAATTTTTTTTATTTTTGGTAGCATGTTTTTATGGTGCCTAACTACTGACCCCTGTGAAGTTAATACTATTTATTTTCTTTAAAAGTTTTGTCCCCCTGTGGCTCATGAAATAATTTTCTTTTTGCTTTAATACTATTACTGGCTGTTTCATTCTAATTATAATTTTATTCTTTATTTCCTATAAAGAATTTTTTCCTCTAGACATCAAAAATTAAATATAGATTTAGGTAATAGAGTTATGGTAACTAATTAACAACAATTTCAGGAATCTTATAAAAATTCAATGACCCCATCTTCCTTTTTAACATTACATAAATATTTTGTCAGGTCTTACAGTTCAACAGTTTCTTAACTATTCATGATTAAAAATATGGGGGTAGAATTTGTCTTAGTGATTATTTTTATAAAGAGAAGGGCACAGACTTGAAAGGGATATGAGGAGATGGTTTATAGCAGTTCTTAACTGGGGATAATCATACCCCTCACCGGATGTGCGGCACTGTCAGGACACATATTTGGTTGTCTTAACTGGGGGAAGGCAGTGGCATTGGCATTTAGTGGTAGAGGGCAAGGATGCTGCTAAATATCCCAAAATGCTTAGGATAGTCCTCCACAACAAAGAATGATCTGGCCTAAAATGTCAATAATGCTGAAACAGATGAAGCCCAGCTAGAGTGACAGCAGTTCTCTCTATCATAATTGAGATTTTCATTCCACAGGTGTATACATTAGGCAAACTCACTGAACTGTGTAATTAAGATCTGCGCATTTTACTGTATGGAATTATATCTCAATAATTCATAAACAAAGTATACTTGATCCAAGAGAAGGGGAAGAGGGTTTAATGGGGTCTGACTGTATTTAGGAATGAACTGGATTAGCAAGACAGGGTGACAGCTGTGTTAAACGTGATGTTTCATTATATTTCATTTCTAAACCAGACTGTAGCACTGGCAAAATATACTGTCATTTGAATAAACAATCCTTCTTAGAATAAAAACATGATATCAGAGAAATACAACTGAAGGAATTCAATTATATTTAAATAGTTAGCTTATTCCTAACATCAAAAAAGTAAATATAAGAAAGTTTTGGCTTAGCTATATGTAACAGAATATCAACATATCAAAATTTCTAAAATGCATTTTTTGTAGAGAAAACATCAGACTCCAAACACAAGAATCAATACAATGCAAATTTTCTTTCATAAATGTGTCACAGAATTACATCTTTTTTGACATTAGTAATTGTAATAATGAATTTGATACCAACGGTAAATCCTTCACAAATAAATCCCTGGAGTTGTTGTCACTGCTGGGGGCCATTCCAGAGGGACATGCTTCCTGGTTCTGTTAATATAGTAAAACAAAGAAAACACTGGTACAATTGATATATTCATAACAAAGCATTCATTTTTTCAACAATAAAAATGTACCAACAGTCTACTATGGTGCCAGGCCCTGTTCTAGGAACCAAGTCTACAGCAGCTAAAACATATATTTAAGTCCAACTCTCTTAAAGCTTACATTCTAGTGTAGGGAAAGAAAAATTTTTAATGAAAGGAAAAAGATACATAAATAATTTCAGAGAGTGATAAAGTGCTATGAAGGAAATACTCAGAGTTGAAGTGACCAAGACTGACTGAGGTTGGAGGTTCCCTTAGACAGATAGGGTGACTTTCATCTGAAATCTAAAGAATGCAAAGAAGCCCACCATTGAAAGGGGAGGGAAAGAAAAAGTGGTGGAAACAGCAAATACAAAAGTCGTGATGTAGGAAAAGCCTTGCTGTGTTTAGAAAAGAAAGGCCATTTTGCCTGGAATCATATATGACCTCTCTCATAATGAGAACAACAGGAGGGGTTGTATATTCAGAGACCAGAGAACGTGGGGCCTTGGGAGTCTTGAGTTTGGATTTTAGTCCCAGTGTTATGGTTACTTAATTATTAAGCAGGGAAGTGAATCGTAAGTTTTAAAAAGATCAGTCTGACCACTGTATGAAACATGGATTGAAAGGGGCCAAGAGCAGAAGAAGTTAGGTAGTTACTGTAGTAAATCTAGCAAGACAGCTATCTGCTAGGACTTGAGTCCTACAGCTACAGAGGTGAAGCCCAGTGGAAGGTGTTGAGAGAACACAGTATGCTGAGACTGAATAGGTGTGGAGGTGAGGAGAGTGGGGAAAGAGGGAGAGGGAAGCCTCTTTGGTTCGGACCTGAGCAAATGGACAGGTTGTTTTATGAGATGAATAAGACGGACAGACAAAGGCAGAAGTACACAGTATCTTTGGGAGAGGGAAAATAAAGAGTTGTACTTTGTACAAAATGTTTGAGATCCTTGTGGCGCCTGGATCCCTCAGTCAGTTAAGCATCCAACTTCACCTAAGGTCATGATCTCATAGTTCATGAGTTCAAGCCCTGCGTCAGGCTCTCTGCTGACTGCTTGGAGCCTGGAGCTTGTTTCAGATTCTGTGTCTCCTGCTCTCTGTGCCCCTTCCTTGCTCGTGCACTGTCTCTCAAAAATAAATAAACATTAAAAAAATGTTTAAGATCCTTTATTAATATTTAAGTGGATAGCTCAAGTAGTAGTCGTGTGTGTGTGTGTGTGTGTGTGTGTGTGTGTGTGTGTGTGTGTGTGTGTTGAGCCATAAATTTGGAAGTTGCCAGCAGACAGTGAGTGTTTAAAGGCATGGGAGGGGGGTAAGACAAGATGGGTCTAGGACAATTGACATTTGAAACTAAAGAAGAAGTGAGCAAAGGAGACAGATGTGTAACAGAAAGGACTAGGAAAGTATGGTAGTAAGAAAGCTAGGAGATTGAAGTATGTTATTATTTTAAGGTCAAGAAGAAAGAGAGGTGACCACTAAATTTGGTAACATGGGGGTTGTGGGGACCTTGGCACAGTGACCATAGAATGATGGGGATAAAAGCCAGGTAAGAGGGAGTTCAAATGTAAATGGAAGCTGAGGAAGTGAGGACAGTAAGTGCACTGTTGTCTCTGCTAAAGTTTGGCTGTGAAGGGAAGCAGAGAAATGAGGAGGTAGAGGGATATGAAATCAGCAGAGGTTTCATTTATTTTCTTTTTCTCTTAAGGCAAAAGATATTAAAGCACATCTGTATGACAGCTAGAATGATTCAGTCAAGGGGCAGATCCAGGTTGAAAGAGTGCAAACTTTCAGGACCAAAGTGCTTGAGGGGATGAGAAAAAGGGAATCTGATGCACAGGGAAAGGCTTGGCCTTTGACATGTGCAGAGACACTTCTGCCCCTGTGACAGGAGGGAAGACAGAGAACAGTGCAGATACAGGCAGGTTTGTAGATTTGTAGATACAGGCAGGTGAGAGTTCCAGACTGATTGCTTAGAAGTCACTCTAATTCAGTGCAGTTGTTTTTTGAAATTTGACACACATATAATATGCTGATGTTATGAGAGGTTAAAACTGTTCAAGAGAAACAAAATAATTAGAAATTTAATCCTATTACAAATTTTAAATTTAGTTTCAATTTAGCTCATGTTCTAAATTTAAGTAGTAGCATTATTGAAGGTAAATAAAGGAGAATATTTAACTGTAGAATAATGTAATTTAGTCACAAATTACTAAAAAGATCTATTATAAAATTTAGGAAACAAAAGCTATTAGAAAATACTTTATGATTAATCTTATAAACTAAGTTAACTATTGGTAGGCAAGAAAAACCTTCTTCTTATCAAAGCATTTTAAGTTTTTAAGCATGTTAAGTCCATTACTGTTTAATTGACTTGATAAACATGGAAGCACGCGAGTATAGAATGATGGCTGAAGAGTGATGCATATGGCAAATGCATGGCAGAAAACAATCTTGATGTTAAATGCTAAGAACACTTTTTCCCAGCAACTAATTTTTTAAGTTTATTTATTTTGAGAGTGAGAGAGAGAGAGAGAGAGAGAAAGAGAGAATCCCATGCTGACTCCCCACTGTCAGCACAGAGCCCAACATGGAGCTCAATCCCACGAACTGTGAGATCATGACCTGAGCTGAGATCAAGAGTCAGATGCGTAACTGATTGAGCCACTCAGGAGCCTCAGCTAATAACATTTTAATAAATACTCAAAAAGCAATGATAAATGTCAAAAAGCCTGCAATAACAGTTCCCATCCCCCCATTGTTTTTGTGATCGTCTCACTGGGTATTCATTTCTCACTATTCTCTATATGATTTCACCAAAAACTTTGGAAAGGGAAAAGGAACATTCAAATGTCTTTGGAGTAATTTTCTTTCCTTACTAGTTGACCAAACAAGGAAAAGAAAAAAAATTAGGAAAGATTTTATTCTGAAGGGGGGAAAAACAAACAACCAAAAAAACCCCCTACCTTTTAAAATAATTTAATCCTCACAATACAGGAAAATATCAAATCTTTTATAGATAATTCTCTGCTACACCATATATGCATATATTGCATATATGTATATGTATGTACATTCTCTATGTCATACGTAGGAAAAATATGGAGTCACCTTTCATCACTGACTCCTGCTGTCAGAGGAGAGACAATTTTAATTCCCTTCCTGAGTCTTTACTCTTCCCTGATTCACGATGCTCTGGCTTTCTTCTCTGGTTTCCTGGCCTACCTGCCAACACAACTGTCTTCACTGGCACAGCAAACAGACGGCCACCCACAAGAAAAGTAAACTTGTTTCTGTGACTACCTGACATGCACCACTGCTTTCTGTCTGCCCCCAGTAGTTTTCCTAGGAAAAGGAAAGGAGATCCTGGCTCATCATTATCTCTTCTTGGGATACTTGTGCAGGGGGACGCAAAGAATATCAAGCTTTTTCCACATCTGTTATATTTTGGCTGACCCTTCCATATAACCTTGAATACAACAGAATAATATTAAACAGCAAACAGCAAAATGTTTAAGATATTTCTTGTCTGGGAATTAATGTATACCTTTCCTTATTTGACCAACTAGTAGGTAAAAAATGACTCTCCAAAACACACTTAAATACTGCCCCCTCCTTCCCAAATTAAGGTAGTTCTTATAAGACCTCACTAGGTATAACAAAACTACATAGAAAAGCTAAGATTTATAGCGCCGATTGAAACTTTTGGACTAGTCTGCTTCAGGTACCACTATTAGATCTTTAGCTGAGTTGCCCTATATTTGGCTCACTTAGCTGAAGAGTCAAAAAGGACCAGCAGTGCAAAATGCTGAACTATTTCTTCTGTACCTTGTCTTGCTACCTGCTTTCAGAAGCAGGTTATACAAGCACAAGCCTCAATCATGTATACGCCTGGAGTTTTCCTAACTGGCTGTGCTAGAGCACTGATGAAAGACGTTTTGATCAATTCACTACTAACAGAGCTATCAGTCAGTAATGAATTTAAATAATATAATTGATCTAAACTACCAAGTGACCGATTTCACATTTTTTCCTAAGAAAGTCAGCTTTTGTAATGAAAATACCTGAGCAGTCTCTCCCATTTGTTGTGAAGTCAGTTTTCCTTTCAGTGCGTAGAGCTGACATGTGAGGTAGTAACATTCTCTTCTCAGCTGTAGGATGATATCTTGGGCTTCTCTCACTTTGGATTTTTCGTTTTCCAAAGCTACAGCTAACATTCTGTTGTTGTCTTGGTAGTTTTTTAACAGTGTAGAAGTATTGGCTGAAAGAGGATACATTTTTTTATTATGTATTAAATGTAAACTTAAACTTAAAAAAAAAACTTAAAAGGTAAACTTAAATGAAATCACATCATTTCATGATGCAAATGGACAACACGAAAATCTCTTACTGATTATTTGGCATGGTGCAGCTATAAAAGACTTTCGTTTGCCAATCTCTGCCAAATTTTTACTCCTTTTCTCTTTCATTCGTTTCTTTATGTCTTCAAGACTATCTTGAAAGGACTTTTTAAGGCACCTTTCCTTGGCCATCTTCTGCCTAGGGATTTAAAACAATAAAAAGTATTTAATTTTTCTAAGAGATAACATCAAATATAAAACAAGACTGAAGACACAGGTTGTTCATAAAGAATGGCTTGAGTAGACTTAGTAAGTGTAGAATTAGCTTGAAGAAGCTGGCTAACCTGGTAATAACTTAGATTCTGCAGTTTTTAAATCTCACTAACATTTTAGCATACTCTTATCCTCCTCAGGTACTTTATAGGGAAAATTAAGAAATATGTATTTCAACCCAAAGACTCTGTAATATGTCACTTATTTATCTTTAACAAATAGCCACTGGGGGGTAGTGTATACAAGGCATTATGGGATATACTTAATATTATATTTTGATGTTACTATTATTTATGTTTCCTACAGACAACGTTTATGACCAGCATTTAGCATTTACTAGACATACGGCATTAGTTCAGAGGTAATCCTGTATGTGGGCTTTGTTTTCCACTTCTGCTCTACATTATTAACTTATCAGATCAGGTCACTTGATGGAATTAATCAAGAGTTATTCTTCCACACTCTTTTAGCCCAATACTTTAGATCTGCACACACTCTCATGAAAGTCAAGGTCCTCCTCAGAGTTTTATAAACTATGTAGCACTATATACAATCTTAATCGGCTATTTTAACAGTCATAGAACTAGAAAGAGCAGAACTGAGGCAGAGGAACATGCCAGTTTTCTCAGTTATTTTTAAAACTCAGTTGTTAGCTCCTAGTAAGTCATGAGTATAGCAAACAAGACATTAAATAACTATTGTTCTACAAACAGTTGTTTTACATACAGTTAAAAGTAGTAAATAAAACAAGCAGTGATAGTGAAATACGCTGAGTATATTAATACATAAATATACTTAAATCCTTCAATGCTGCAAATCAGATTTGCTTAAATATTTTGCTACTAAGCACATCAAACTACTATTCATGAACATCTTTTACCCTGGATTGCACTTTGCAGATCACAAAATTGCAAAAAATAATTCCTGTTTCCTACAACTATATTTACATTTTTCACTACAAAAGATACCTTCATTTCCTCTATGCTGGCCAAATATTTTACTGAACCTCACATTTTCTTGAGTATTTTCTCCAGCGCACATTTATCTTCCTTTATGCACTGTCTGGGGGTGTTAACTATAGACCTCAGATGTTATTTTCTCTTTAACAACAGATAGGACATATACTGGGATGTTTCCAGTACAGCTAACACAACTCTTTTTTTTAAAGCACTAGTGTTAAGTGGGTTGTACAAAACAGCGTCTCACAATGGAGCTTTTAAAGTTTGAACAGGAGATGTTTGAAAGTGACACAGATTAAGTAACTGATCAAGTTAGTTTAGTAAAGTACCTAAAATAGTTTCGTTATCACCTTTTACTTAAAATCACCAGAGAAAACTGCCGTATGAGAAGTCCCCTACGTAGGCCGAAGGGGGTGTGGTGGAGAGAACGAATGAAAACGGGTCGCGGCGCGGGAGGGGTCGGTCAACAGCTTATTCGAGCAAAGGGTCCGGATTCGGAAGAGCCTAGAATATCCGATCTCCGTCATAATCCTTCCCTCACTGCCGCTGCGGGGGCGGCCAGGCAGGGCCCAGCCCGGCGCGAGCTTCTCCCGGCAGACCCAGGAAGCACAACAGAAGCGCGCCCAGCGTACCGCGCTGCACGAGAACAGCCGCCAGTCTGTGCGCCCGCGCGTCGAGCCTGGCTTTTAACTGCGGTAAATGCCCTTCCAGATCACTTCGTCCACAAAACTCTGCAAGGCAGGAGGCTCGTGTCTCCGTGTATTGAACAAGAGGAGACTGGAGCGTCGGAAAGCGCAAGTCGAGTGGGTGGACAGAGACAGGCGGCCAAACCGACTCCACGATCGAGCTTCTGGCCACCGAATTTAGAACCCCAGAGAGACCTCCGAGGAAAGACCAACAAGGACCACGACCACCCTGTTCCACACCTGAAAAACCTGGGCTTTCTCTTTCTCGGAGGGGCACGGGTAAAGTCGAGGGGGTGGGGTGTTGCCGGAAGAAGGTCCGGAGATCCTCCTCCCACAGGTACGTCCCAAACAGTACCTTGGCCACCACTTCTGGCGCAGCTGCCGCTCTCCTTACATTCCAAGGCTCCGCGGGGCTGCCCGGCCGGCGTACCCGCGCTTCGGACCCTCCAGGTCTAGGCTGTCTCCAGCCGCCCGCCGGCTAACGCCACCACATTCGAAATTCTCCGCCGCGCTCACCCATTGGCTGCCTGGCAGGCGGTCACGTGAGGCGACCGCGCCGCCAGGAGTCCCGCCTCCCGGGGCTGTCTCACGTGACTCACTCCGAGACACCACATCCGGGCATCTACCGCTCCTCCCGCCCCCCGCCTCCCGAGGGGGCGGAGTCATTAGTGAGCGCTTTGAGCTGTCGACTTTTTTCTTCTCGGAGTCTTTGACTTTTCGGGGTGGATCCGCCGCGAGATCTTTAAGGGTGGGTATTTTAGGGCGATCAAAAGCTTCCTGTTTCTTTAGTCGTACAGCTTCCCGTCTTTGGGATTGCACTCGAGGGCTCCCTCTTGTGAGAAGAATCTTGTTTGCCCGCCGAAGCAGTCCGCCGGCTGCCCACAGGCGTCTCGTAGGGAATATTAAAAACCAAAATAGGAAACAAATTTTGGATTAACAGGATATTAGGGAAGTTGCAGATATCTGGAATATTCAGCCCCAGGTTCTTTGGCTGCCTCTGGCTCTTTAACCCTCTGGAAATGGCACAAGCATCGGACAGCTACTGACCCAGAAGTCTGGGAAATTTTCCTTATTGATATTTTATTCTCCCTTAGCCTTTCACCCAGTCCTGTCAATTCTACCTTTTACGTATTTTTCACGTCCAAACCCCACTATTTCCCATACTTAAATCCAGCCAAATACCTACTCTTACTATGAACTGGACCAGTACCTACTCTGACCGCAGACTCCAATCCCTTATGTTCTTCATAGAATGATGTTTTGACAAAGCAAATATGATTCAATATGAAGCTCTTGAATGGCTTCTCACTGCATTTAAGACAGAGTTCAAACACCTAAAGGTGTTTCGTCGGTAATGAACCCCATGGTTCCGAGTTCTGCCTCTTCTGAATTTTCTTTCATTTCCTTGTAATTCATCTTGCTGCTTTTGCCCATGCTGTTTTGTCTGTCAAGAACAGTCTTTCCTCCTCTTGAGCCCAGTTAGTCTTACTCATGCTGCAGGTCTCACTCTGTAGAGGTGAATTCTTCCAGAAAGACTTATCTGTTCTCAACGCCCCCTTAATAGTCCGAATGTACATCCTTAGTGCTAAGCATGCACTTTCCCTTTAATACCCCTGTAGCATTGACTTGTCATTTATTGCCTATATATTCAACTTGGAGACGGGTAGAACTGTATTTGCCTGTTTATTGTTGAATAGTCACCCTCTATTTAGCAACTTGAGGTTAGTAAATATTCACTGGGACAATAAAAGAATGAGTAAATGAAACCTAAGCAATTATTTTCAATTTAGATATTCAATTCATCATAAAGATTTTTTTTTATTTCTAGGAGAGAGAGAGAGAGAGACAGCGTGAGCAGGGGAGGGTCAGAGAGAGAGGGAGTCACAGACTGAAACAGGCTCCAGGCTCTGAGCGGGCAGTCAGCACAGAGCCCGACGCGGGGCTCGAACCCACGAACCGCGAGATCATGACCTAAGCGAAAGTCGGACGCTCAACCGACTAAGCCACCCAGGCGCCCCAGATTTTTTTTTTTTTTTTTTTAAAGATAACCAACATTTACATCCTTACCCTTGTCTAGTCCTCACCTCACACCTTCCTGGCTTGAGTGGAAAAGATTAGAATGTTTGTCTTTAGCCAACAACTTCCCCTCCAGGTGTTAGGAGCCACATCTCCTCCACTAGTAGAGGTTTTCTAGAGTAGTTTTCTACTCTGGGCGCTGTGGCGCATAGGTCAGAGGCATCAAGAAGAAAGGGTCAGCCCAGACGTGTTGCTGGTTTTGGTGGTAGGTGGCTGTACTGCAGCTCAGGGTCAGAGGCCCGCCTCTTGCACCAGCCTCCACAGTGGCATTAATCACGCCGCTCTGCGGGTGTGGGTGGTGGTGGCAGTCTTGGCAGTTGGCTTCGGCAGCGGCAGCAATCCTGGAAGCTGGGACAGGGACCTGGCCACGTTGGCATTGGTACAGGTGCATAGCAGGTGCGACTTCGCGTGCACACTGCCACAGGTCTGCCCTGGTGGGCCTGCGTGGTCCTCACCAGCGTCGTCCTGCTGGGCGTGGTCTAGTGCCTCCCAGGCGCTTCCCAGCACTACATCCTGGCCAAGGCAGAAAATTTGCAGCCAGAAATAAAAGCATTGCAAGGCATCTTAACCAAGAAGTTGCAGTTAGTGCAGAGCAGCTGGGTGGTCCAGAAGAGATGCCAGGCCAACTTACCTAGAGAATATGTGGAGGCTTGTTTCAGAGCTGTTTGGTCGGGACAGCTGCCACCCTCTCAAAGCCACCGTGTTCATCCGGATTCAGTTTCCAATGTGGATCTTCATGTCTGTTCCTCTTAAGAATTTTAGCACAGGGGCAAAACATTCAGATGTAGGTTTTTCTGTTCATGAACAGTTAGCTGCTGATGGGGTCCTGTGGTTTCCTGACCTCACTGCACTGGATTGCACTTGGATTCGGCCCATCTCCGTTGGTGTCATCAGTTTATTAATAGTGGAGATTTTTGCTCTGCAAAAAATTGGAATGGCTCATTTTCAGATGTATATTACCTACTTTGTGTGGTATCCGTGTTGATGATTCCAACTGCTGCAACGGTGCCTTCATCAATTGTCCTCTACTGCTTATGCTCCAGATTCATGGCCCTTTCACAGAATTTGTTGCTGCGTTCTCTTATGTTTTGCCAACTTTGCCCAATACTGTTGACCAAGTCAGATTCAGACACTCCTAGTAAGGACCACTTTGCTGCTTTTTATGCTAAGTTCATTTCAAGAGATAGACATGCTTTCCAGGAATTTTAAAACAATTACAAGGGTCACTATCATCATATATTTAGGTTTAGAAATTCAGATGTGATTTAATTTACTTTATTTAAAATCATGAATTGTGTGAAGTACTGTGAGTTAAGATATAATCCAAATATATTTGACAATACTTAAAATCTTTTAAATGCTAGAAATGTATGTTTAATTGTATTGTAAAAGTACAAATGTGAATCAAAGTGTCTGGTTCTGCTTATAAAATTATAATTTCCTAGAGGTGCCAGAACTGTGGAAAACAGGATTAGATGCTGAATGATGTCAAATTATACTGACCAACCTCATAAAGTTTTATAAAGTAGGGGAATCCAGTAAGGTGATTCTTAAAATTTTGGAGGTGTAAAGGATCATAGACCCATTTGTATACCTACTAAAGCTATGGTTTTCTTTTCAGAAAAATCCTGGGACTCACAACATGGGGTCCTTATTAGATGACCCCCTTCATCTTTTCTGGTAATTCCTGGTTGAGAAATGGAACACACAATGATTATGAGTTAATATGTGACTTTTAAAGAATGGACTTGAGATACATGCAGTAATCTGTGTAAGAAAGTACCTAATATGGTAGGTGATTTCAACCATCCTCTAAAAGAATACAAAATGGGTACATTCTAGGCTGAAGAAGTCTAGAATAGAATATAGCACTAAGTACTGTTACAGCCCAAAGTGGAAAATCTTGAGCATTGTTTGTTTAGTCAAAGGAAGGAAGGTGGAAGGGCAACTGCCTATTACAGAAGTGATTTTATAAACTTCTTTATTTGGTAGGATTAAGTACCCTAATGGGTGTAAACTATGGTCGATGTTTAATATAGAAAACAATAACAGGTAATATATATTGTGGATCTAGTTGTTTGCTTGTTTGATTTGAAAAGATGATAAAGCTAACTGCAGCTGGGATATTTATGAATACATTTGATAGTCATTAGAGAAGATTAAAAATACAAAGAAAAAAGAATCAGAGATTTTTAAAAAAATGTTTTGTTGCTTGAGGCCAGACGGTATGCATTGGAAAGTGAGAGCAGGGCTACTTCACAAGCATGTGACCTATGCTCAGAAAGGCCTTGCACTTGGTTTAATGCTCTGCCTTTGCCATCTTGAAATGCTTACTATTTTATCTTTGAGTTTGTGATTTGTAAGTGAAGTCTGATGAAACAATGGAACATGCCCATGAATAAACAAGATAACGTGCACTATGTGTGTCCATCTGTCTCTTGACCCAATTGCTGTATTGTGTTCAGGATGTCCACTAAATGGCTTCTGTGACACACTTACTTTATGCTTGGGGCTCCGTGCTCAGAAGGGCTTCATACTTGGTAGAGCGCTCAGCTGTCATCTTGGAATTCTTTATTTATTTTTTAATAGTTTATTGTCAAGTTGGTTTACATATAACACTCAGTGCTCATCCCCACAAGTGCCCTCCTCCATGCCCAGTGGGTGAGGGGCAGAGAGAATCCAAAGCAGGCTGCACACTGTCAGCATAGAGCCCAATGTGGAACTCGAACTCACTAACTCAGATCATGACCTGAGCTGAAATCAAGAGTAGGACATTCAACCAACTGAGCCACCCAGGTTCCTCTGTTGCTCTGGCTCATGTCAGAGAAATTACTGCCTGTATTCTCTTTTAGGTTTTTTATGGTTTCAGGTCTCATGTTTAAGTCATTAATCTATTTTAGTTTATATTTGTGTATGGTGTA